GTAGATTGGCTCACACATTTAGAGAAGGAAACATGACTACTAACTGTCTTGCTAATTGAGGGCTGAACTCTCCTCTTGGTCTGACCACCTTGGAGGAACCTTTGGAAGGGCTAAATCCTCTTCTTCGTAATTATGTTATCCGAGTTACAGCCCCCAGATCTTGTTCTTTGTAGTTTTGCGGGCTTTGCCCCCTTTGAACCAAAAAAAAAACAAATTTATTATATATTTATTTACATACTTATATATATATATATTGAAATATATTGTAAAATATATATTTATTTTACATGCTTAAGTAAGCAAGCCAAGCTAACGAACTAAATTAAAGAACCTAAGCGAATCGAGAAACGTATCATCTCATTCTACCCCTAGTGAACTAGGTTCACTTTAGAGTGGCGAACTGCGAACCCAATTTGAACTGAGCGATCTGACGAACCAGGTAACATTGGTCCATGGGCACGATTTCAGGGGCGACCAGTGTTTGGTTTGCCTTTATCTCCTATTTTTTGTCTTTTAGTTCATGACCTTGTGAACTGCTGTATGCTCTAAGCCTTGTAGCTTCATTCATCTTTTAATATATTTATCTGCTTGATTATCGATTAAAAAAAAACATTGGTCCAAACTATCTGAATATGTCCTCCCTTATTTAATCATCTATTGTAGCGACTCATGCTCTGCATGCAGATGTGTGAAGGAGAAAGAATATTTTTCATCAGTAAATCAATCACCGCCTACCAACATGTGGCATCAAGCCACTCATTATCAACCACGTGTACTTAGTCGACCTCTCATATCCCACTAAAGAACACACCTTAACACAATAACAAAGTGGATTACCTTTCTCTTCTCTTCTTTTTTGAATTGAAGACAACACCTAGTGTCTTTCACTCTCTACAAAATTCAAGAAAGAAGGATGTCGTTTTGTGATACTAGCAAATACCATAATGGAGGAGGAAACAATGGAATTAAGATTTTCTATAGAATTTATGGCCCATGGAACAACCAAAGTTCTCATCATTAAGAAAGAAAGTCAGAGAAATGATTGTGTTCGGCAAGAGGGATGATTGTGTTCTAGAACCTGAGATATCCAAAAAGGGTAGATCAATAGTAGGGGTCCATTTTCAATCCATTATTTTCTGCTGCTTAGAAGATAAGTTCGTTGGGTGTTCGTATTGGTATGTGGTCCTAACTCTAATCCCTGAAACAGGATATGTAGGTTGAACTAGATGCGATTTTCGCTAGGTGAGTCCAACCTTGGTGTAGTGGAAATTTAAACCTTGTTGAATACCATTGAGAAGAGTTTTGAGGTGTTAGGAGGATCTCGAGGTGCATGAGTAATTTTTTAACTTCATCAACTGGGAAGCTCCCCCAACCCTTAAGGGCACTCATTAAACTTGGTCTGATAATAGGTCTCCACTGATCTTGTGTAGATTTACTCGGTTGGGAGCATTTCCTAATATGATCCAAGAAGCTTTGCTTAACCCCATCTCTGACCACAAATCCATTTTCGTAAAGGATTTTTTCATTACTCATATATTGGCTCTTTTTAGGTTCAAGAACATGTGGATTGAAGTTGATGGGTTCAAGGGTGTTCAAGACCGAACCAAATCGGTCTTGTTGGGGAGGATGATTGTCCTTTGAGAGTTGGGCCAGATTCTTCTTTGGGGTGAAGCTTTAATGTTTCAAGGCAAAATCAAGTATTGGAATGCTGAAATATTCCGGAAGGTGGAGTTCAAAAGTCGGAGATCATTTGAGATATTTGCTGGTTGGATAATCAGGAGGAAGTTGAGTCTATTTCAGCTAAAGGGAGGAGCTCAAATAGTAATTTTCATCTTTCAGTCTATGCCGGGAAAGGGGAAGATGCAAGAAAAAAGAAAGAAGTTTATGGAAAAGAAAGAAAAGAACGAGATCTCTATTCTTCTTTCAAAGAGGAGATCAGCTGGAGGAAAAAGTCTAGGATCTAATGGTTGAAGGCGGGGCGATACGAATTCCTTTTTCTTTTTTTTTTGCGCGCTAATGCCAAGAGAAAGAACTATTGCATCAACAGGATCAAAGTGGGTAATCAGGTTATTGAGGATGATGATGCTCTCAGAAGAGAGGTTTTCTCCTACTTTGAGTCTTTATTCTTCGAATGGGTCTTCCAGACCATTCTTAGATGGCTTGGAGTTTTCTCAGTTCAACAATTTGGAGGTGAGGTGGGTTAGATAGGAATTTTGGGGAGGAAGAGGTAATGCAACCATCTCTAGCCTGGGGAATGGTAAGGCTCTAGGCCCAAATGGTTTCCCTCTGGACTTTTAAGGGCCTAATGGGACATCATGAAGCCATATTTGGTGAAGGTTCCGAAAATTTACCAGAATGGGAGGTGGGACAAGAGTCACAAGACAACCAACTTGACTTACATCTCTTGTTCCTTCGAGGGGTGTAGAAGAGTCGAAGGACTTTCCTATCAGTTAGAAGTTTATAAAATATTGTGGCTTGGGTGCTTTTAATTGTGCTCAAGGTGGGCATTGGGAAGGTGGTGGGGGACTCAACAAGGAGCTTTTGATCGGGGCATGCAGTTGGTTGATGGTGTTTTGAGTGTATTGGTTCCTGGATCAGTTCCATCTAAGAAAGGAAGGGATTTTGTGCTAGGTGGACATCTAGGAGGTTTTTGATCACGTGGAATTGGGCTTTCTTGGATTTCATGTTGGGTTAGATGGGTTTGGGTGTAGGTAAGAGGTTGGATAAGGTCTTGTGTCATGTCGGCTTTATTATTTGTATGGTGAACGTTTCTTCGACAGGTATTTCTACGGCTTTAGAGGCCCTTGTCAGGGCTGCCCATTATCCCCCTCTTTGTCATTGTGGTGGTGGAGACCGTTAATAAGATGATTTCTGAGGCGGAAGAGCTCGGGTGTTTTGAGGGGTTCTACGTAAGTCACTCATCTTCAGTATGCATATGATAATTGTTTATGGATATTTCTTTGCAACTAGTATCAAACACCATAGTAGTTTTGAGATATTTTGTTGCAATCTCTAGGCTTTGCATAAACCTGTCAAAAAGCACTCCCATCGATGTGGGAGATGCCGAGGAAGGTTTCTTTGTGGATTGTGCTTGTGCTCTGGGATGTCGGCAGAGTCAGTTTCCAATAAAATACATTGGCCTCTTAGCATCCGGTGATTGAGATTTGAGAGTGTCTAGAGGAGACTAGTTTGGCGAAAGTAGAGCTTCCTATCCCTAGGTGGAAGAATGACACTCATTGAGACTGTAATTGTGAGCCTCCCGATGATCTATATCTCAGTGAACAGAGCTACAAGAATTGACTCTTTAGATCGTATCTAGCAGACATTGTTGTTAAGGGTGGCACCTGAGGCGGTTGCCTAGGTGACCAAGCCTGCTGTGCCTAGGCGATCACCCACCTATGCGGCCTAAGTACGAGAAACAGCTAAATTTTTTTTAAATTTGTTATTTGACTTCATATGATTTTAATCTCTCTCTCTCTCTCTGTTCACCCTGTTCTCTCTATCCCTCTCCACTGTTGGGCTCTCTTTCTCTGTCCCCCGTTCTCTCTATCCCTCTCCACTGTTGGTCCCTCTCTCTCCCTCTCTGCCGCCCCCTCCCCCTTCCCCCCACCCATTGTTCGATACCTCCCTGCATGTCTCTTGGTTAAATACTGACGACCTATTTTCATCCACCGCCATTTGATTAAATATTTTCATATTTGCATTTACTTCTCATTTTGGGAAACAATTGCCTTGGCTTGAGTAGATCAAAAGGAATGTTACTGTGTGGCGGCAGGTATACTTTCATGTTTTCGCACTTGCGTTCTAGATCTGAAAGTTGACCTCTTCTTTTGTTATTTGATGAGGCAGCATCTCAGACTAGCAGATTAAGCCCCAAATGGATCTATGGTGATTCCATAGAGTGATAGTTCGTGATTCTAATCTTTGTCTACTACAAATTTTATGTGTACCACAAGCCCATGAATCCTGAGTCCTGACCATCCAAATTCTGATCATCTGATTCTTAACCCAAGCCTTTTGGCACCCTATTAGTATCACAGATCAAAACAACTCAGGCCCAACACAGATTTGAGCTCAGGTACACAATTGGGACGGGATGCCAATGTGCACCCCAGTCCATGATGCCAAGCAGGAATACAACACTTGATTTGGGGTTGTATCATTTTATGGATACAAAGGACGAGAGTAGGGGTGGCAATGGGCCGAACCAAGCATTTCAAACCCAGCCTATGGCAGCACCATGCCTACCTAGCTTCATAATGTTCTTCCCAATGATGAGACAGGTGGTGCCACCTCAGCGCCAATTCACGTCAGTGGATAAGCTGGTGCGAGGCATGCTTTCTGGGTAGCTTATCTACAGTGTTTGACCTTTAAGCACAAGGCACGGTCAGGTGACACCTTAGGCGCCCAATGGGTCTGCCGCCTTGGGTCACCTGGTCACCTCGACAACCATGCTGACATCATGGACTGGTTCCAAATCATGTGGTCAATCTAATACCCATGATGAATCAGACAGATATAAGTGGTTATGCTATTTCATATGCTGGAAATCCCAAGGAAATCCTAGAAGAGGCCCATCAGAAGTTGTTGGAAGTACAAGGACTAGTCGCTTCGGGTGTCCAAACCGACCCACTCGGAATTTTCCCTTCGGGACACCAGGGTAAGTCGAGGAGTGGGAGTTGAACACATAACCAACAGGGAGCAACCCCAGAATGCTAGCCAAGGCACAGTCAGGTGACACCTCAGGCACCCATGGGGTCTGCCGCCTCGGGTCACCTGGTCGCCTCGACAACCATGCTGACAGGTTCCAAATCATGTGGTCAATCTAATACCCATGATGAATCAGACAGATATAAGTGGTTATGCTATTGCATATGCTGAAAATCCCAAGGAAATCCTAGAAGAGGCCCATCAGATGTTGTTAGAGGTGCAAGTACTAGTCGCTTCGGGTGTCCGAACCGACCCACTTGGAATTTTCCCTACGGGACACCAGGGTAAGTTGAGGAGTGGGAGTTGAACACATAACCAACAGGGAGCAAACCAAGAATGCTAGCCAACTGCACCATCCCCTGGTGGGTTGGTACCATAGTTACCAAGTTCTCCGATTTAAAAAAAAAATCCCGAATAATACCGGACTTTTCCGTTGAACGATTAATTCATGAGTTTTGGAAAAATAGCGACTTTTTGAAAAATTCGCGAATTTCACAATTTAAACATGAATTATTCACAATTGTTTTTTGAAAAAGTCCCGAATAAATATTTAATATATGAAATATGTTTGTTTATACCTTTCATAATTAGTAATCTTATTTTATACCTTTTCATTTCTTACACGATATTTTCCCAATTTGTTACCGAAGTTTGGCGATTTTTTCCGAACTTTTTCCTAGACGAATTATTCCCGAACCCCGACTTGGTAACTATGGTCGGTACATATCATAAATTGAAGAACAAGAAGGTTGGTCCATGCAAAATACTACGCAAGTTTGGGGAAAACATGTATGAGGTGAAACTTTTAAAAGCTTTTGAATTATTGCCCGTTTATAACATGGCTTCTTTAACAGTTATCATGGCAATGTAGTGCCTGAAATAGATCTGGTTGGTGGAGTATTAAATGAACAAATCCCAAATTAAACAAAGAGAGTTGAAAAGATGGTTCAAGTGAGGGCAATCAAGTTGTACTTATTATCGATACCTAGTCAAGTGGGTGGTCAAACTTGGTTCAGAGAACGCATGAATAATTGTAGAAGAGTTCATGGAGATAGAAGCTAAGAAATGGTGGCATGTTGCAAAGATGAAAACTCGTACAAGGGCGGATTCTTTTTAATGGGAGGAGAGTGATGCAAAAGAAAATGTTGGGTTGGAAACATAATAGGACAGCCCAACCTTGTTCCTTATTTAGGGGGCTTGGATTGGACTTAAATAAGTTTTCTATTGCCTGGACAGATTTGGGACAATTTTGGAATTTATTTTTTGGATCATGGATATTTCGTCATGTTATCTTTAGACCTGATTGAGGTTCTGGTTATGGCATATCAGATGTCATTATTTAATTTTTGATTATTTTTATGACATTAGTTCTTAATGGTAAGTTTTAGGGTGTTTGAGTTTCAATCAACTTTTCAAGGTGTTTCTGTTCAATTATGGGTGAAACTTCATATCATATGTCTCTACAATGTTTGTACAAGCAGGTTACATAAATGCATTGGTGGTGCGTCTGTGTTTGATATAAAAAAAATTCTGTTTTTTTAGTGTCATTGTTTATCCAACCTCAACTTTCCTCTTTTACTTTTTAAAAAATATATTATCAACATCAATTTTTTTTTAATATTTATTCTTTATGATTGTAATGGCTTTGTTAAATATCAGTCACTTGGTGCCACACGGCTTTAACTGCAATATGTGGTTATCAGAATTTGATAAACTTCTAAAGATTGGTTATTGAAGTTAATTTGACAAAGTCATGGTTTAACAATTGCTGCACATTATGTTTATGAAGGTTTTCATTCTTCAGGAACTCCCCAAGTAATTGAAAATTCGGGAATCGAGAATGGAGCCTAAGGTTTCGATTGATTCCATTAGCTATTTTACCATGTGCTTAATTTCTCGTTTCTTCATGCTCCAATTGCCACTCTCGTTGCAGCTGTTATGCGATCTGACGGGTTCCAGTATCTTAAAGAAAATTGCCCGTCATTGCAGTCAGAGCTCCTGAAGACGGTGGCGGGGTGTGAAGAGGAATGGAGCAGTGCAGGTGGAAAGAGCCTAAGTGTATGGGCTCAACTTTCTGATAGCGGAGATCCCAATGACAGGAGGGTAAGGCCACGGACCTGATATAGGGAAAAACAAAATTGCCCTGGTATTGTTTTTTTGTACAATGATGATGGTGGCATGAAAAAAATGAACGTGAGAGAAAAACATTGCATCCGTTGTGTCAATCCTTTTGTCATGTGTTTCATGGATGATGATGATAATGATGATGATGATGATGGTGTGATGGCAATGATTTGGATGTTGTTAAATTGTAGGTTTGTAGTAGCAGCTGACGTGCAGAGATAATATTAGTGGTTCCACACATTCACCAAACTGAGAAGCATGTTGGACAAAACCCGCTGACCAATGAATTTAATCCTCCTGCATACAAGGTACAGTGAAATTGTTGAATCTAACTTTTTTTAAAAAAAATAATTGAACTAATTTTTAGGTTGTCCCTGGGATTGATGCATATTTAGAACTTTAGAAGGATGTCGTATTTGACTACGTAACTCGATGTTATACATGTTTATGGACATTGGCCTGTTCTTCAAATCTGGCTGGGGACCATCCATGGTCAAACATTTGTTTCTAACCCTTATTGTATTACTATTTTCCTTCCACAATTTGGACATGAGGCTAGAGCCTGAATGCCCTGTTAATTAAGATGGTTTATTGAAGCTAGGATGAGGATTTTATTGTTTTTTTTTTGGAAGGTGGATAACGAAATAACGGTACAAGGCAAGACCAAAGACCGTTATGGTATATTGGCGAATAATGTTGGTAGGTAAGGATTTTGCTAGCCCCAGTCGCGAATCTTCCAAAGATTCAATTGGGGCCATACAAATGTCAAACATTATTCGACTTTTGCTTTTTAAACCATTAAAATAATAAATCATTTCCAAGTGTTAGGCCCATCTTGCGGCTATGGAAAAATTTGGAGTAAATGCGACTGAGGCTAGCACTCCTCGTGTTGGTAAAGTAGCTGTAATTATTAGCAGTTCTAACTTAAGTAATTGTTCAGTAATTTTCATAAAATAATGTTTAATTATTTTTTGTCAAATAAAACCTATAAAATAAATAGTAAAACATTGAAATAAAATCCACGAGTTCACCGAGAGGGGCAGGGCAGGCAGGTGTAGAATGCGTTCCATTCAACCACGGCATGGATCAACGCTGCCTACTGGGTCGGAAACCCACGGCCTTTGGAGATAGCTATGTGGTAAATATAATATTAAAAAAGAAATGGAAGGTCGTCGTCGGCACTATACTCTATTTATAATATAAAATATACTAGCGGGTATACTCACGGTTTCGCACGTGAGAGCGAGGGGAAGGAGTAAACCACCCGATTGAACTCACTAGTGGCATGTGTGATGCACGTGAGAGCGAGGTGGAGTTAACCACAATTAATAAGAATTAAAAGGGGCACGTGTTAATCTACGGGTGTGATTGAACTCTCCCCGAGGTCAATCACGATTGTATGTGATTCTAAATAGATAGATGGCAAGGGGTAGTTTAGGAATTAAAGTAAAATATTAAATCAAAGGTAAGGGTAGTTTGGGAATTAAAAGTACAATATTAAATCAATGTTTTGTTTTTATATAAGGATAATTTGGGAATTTCAGAAAAATCATTTACACATGCCTTGTATTATAACAGTACTAGTGGGCACGTGAGATAGGGAAGATGGAGAGAAAGAAGGCAGTATGAGCTACGCTAGTGTGACCAACGTGATGGGCGAGAGAAACATGAAGGCCTCTGGCTAACTTAAGGAGAACTCAATCACATCCACAGGTCAACATGAATCCATTTTGACTCATCTTAATCGTGGTTAAGATTTACTAACTCTTATGATTTAACAATCTAACCTTAGTTTTTAGAAAAAAAAATATTTTAAAAAAGTAACCCAAGGGTTAAGAAATTTAAACCCTAAGGTTATTTAAAAAAATAATAATTTAAAAACTAAGATTTGATTGTTGAACCCTAAGGGTTAATAAATCTTAACCACAATTAATAAAGGTTAAAGGGGACACGTTAACCTAAATTTATTTTTTATAAAAAAAATAATTTCTAAAAATCAAGATTAGATTATTGAACCCTAACGGTCAATAAATCTTAACTACAGTTAATAATAATTAAAATAGGCGTGTGTTTATATGAGGATGTGATTGAATGTGAGTGCAATTGAACTCGAGTTCAATCACGATTGGCGGATTCAATCTCTATACAGGAGATAGTGGGGTGGGAAAGGGAGAGAGAGTGATGGAGGAAATGACGTGAGAGTGATTGAGACTTGGGAGAGAGAAAGGGAAAGAATAAAAGGATAAATTTATGCTTACAAAAAATTTAGTTTTTTACAAATTTTCTTTTACACTTTCATTTATAATCATTTCATGGAAGGGTATTTTAGATATTATACTTTTAATCAACGTTTTGAACATTCAAAATTCTCATTTTATTACTACTCATTTCATATAAGAATATTTTAGACATTATACTTTCAATCAACGTTTTGAACATTTAGAATTCTCATTGTATTAGTAGTGATAAAGGGACACATTTTAACCCGCAGGTGCGATTGAACTCTCCCCGAGTTCAATCGTGATTGATGGTGATTCTATTCTTTCAATAGAAATTTTTTTTGATTAAAATTCTTTAAATAGATAGATGAGGATAGTTTGAGAATTAAAATAAAATATTGAATTAAAATTTTGTTTTATATAAGGATAGTTTAGGAATTTCAAAAAATTTAGGCTACCTATGCCTCTCCATTATAATAGTAAAGAAAGACAAAGAAAAGATAATATGATATGATGGTAATGAGCTACATCCACACGTTTATGTGGGGATAGGAACAAGCCTGCCTAACACTTCCGTGGAACAAGCCTAACTCTTCCGTGGTTGGTCTGGGGATGGGGAAAAATAGACCCCTTAATAGTATTATTTGGGTCTGGCATTGAAAGAAGATGAAAATGTTTTATTGCTCCGGTTGACCTTTTAACCGTAGAGTAACATAGATAAATGATGACAGTGCTAATTTATTTGTTTATTTTTTAATATATATATATATATATATATTTTTTTTTTTGGCAAAGCCAACTATCTATTTGATCAGGAGATGAACTGCGAAAAGTAGATAAGATATTCAATATCTTTGTTGAATGAGTTTATCATGTGTTAGATGTCAGCCGCATTGAACATACTTGCCAATTATTCCGCCTCTACCACTATTCATTCCCATACCAATAGGTATGGAGAATATTTTATTGTGTGAAACCCTAAATGATTAGGTACACAAAAATAATGTCACCCGACTT